CCAGCTTGTCATCTTGATTTGACGAGCTTGAACCGGACCCTTGGGCTTGCTGTTGTGGTTGCTGTTGTTGTTGGTAGCTCGGACGGGGGATGAAGTTGGGACGGGTTTGCTGTTGCATGAGGTTTGGACGGGGCTGCTGTTGGTTGAAGTTTGGACGAGGTGGCTGGAGGGTGTTGTTGTTGTTGGACCACGAGAAATGTGGGTGATTTCTCCACCCGGGATTGTACGTGTTGGAATAGGGGTCATTGGGCTGCCTGTTTTGATAACCTTGGAGGGCATTGACATCTGTATACTGTTTTTCTACCTCCTGGTCAAACGCCGATGGGCACACCTCGGATCTATGCCCCTGAACTCCACATGCCCCGCATGTGTCTACTGCCATGGTGTGCACTAACTGGCCTCCTCGTGCATCATTAGCCGCATTTGCTCTGTGAGTTCGGCTATTTGATGGGCCATCATATCTTGAGCAGAAGATACCTCGTTGACCACGACCCTTTTCCCTTGATTGCTCTTTTGAGACGAGTTAGCACTCATCGTCTCAAAGATCTCATACATCTCTTCGGACGTCTTTACACCGATGTCTCCCCCCGCAGCGTTGTCAACCATATATTGCAAATTTTGGTTGAGGGAGTCGTAGAAGCAATTCATCAGTAGTCCCGGTGAAAGATTGTGGTGGGGACACTGCCGCTGGAGATCCTTGAATCACTCCCAGGCCTCGTGAAGAGGCTCACTCGGTAGTTGGGCAAACGAGACGATCTGTGACCGGAGCTCCTGAGTCTTCTGGTGGGAGTAGTACCTCCCAATGAACTTTGTGTAAACCTCGGTCCAGGTAGTCAGAGATGCCGGTGCAAGTGTCATGAACCAGGCCTTGGCCCGGTCTTTCAATGTCTCGGGGAAACACCTCATCTTCAACTGATCCTCATTCAGCCCGTTCAAGGGGAAGGTGTTGAGGACATTGTAGAATTCCTGGATGAAGTTAAGCGGGTCTTCGCTCGGGAGCCCATGGAATGCCGGCAGCTGGTTGTAGTGAATCATTTTTAGCTCATAATTCCGTGCGGGATCTGGCAAACGGATACACGAAGTGACTGGCCCGATAACTGGCTGGGCTAAGGTTCGGAGGGTGTTACGAGGCGGTTGTTGCTGTTGTTCATCCATGTCGACGTTACTGCCTTCTGACGATTTCGGGGAGTGCTCGTCTCCTTCGTTAGATTCGAGAGTAAGCTCTTCCAGCCGCTCCCTCAGGCTCTCGTTGACTGATTTGTTGATCGGAGATAGCAATTTGCGTCCACTCCTGGTACGCATACACTAAGACCAACAAGGGTTACGAGCACCAATGATAAAAACAAAATAAAAACAAAATAAAACAAGAACTAACACCTAACAAATAAAAAGAAATCAAGAGAAACACAGAAACAAGAAAAATCACAAGAAATAAGAGAAACACTAAAAACAAGATGAATAAGCGCACAAAATAAGTCCTAAACCTTCCCCGGGAACGGCGCCATTTTGCTGTAGTTATTTTTACCGGAGTTAAACCAAATGATTCAATCCCCGGGTCGTGTCTCAAGGAAGGTTAGCCGAATTATTTCGTACGTATATTCAATCACAAGAAGAAGAAATTAATTTCCTAAACACCCTAATACGATGATTTTGATTTTCAATTATCGACTACTAATTCTCAGATAACGCAAATGAACGATTATAAATGACTTAAAACGAGTTACTTATCAGTATGAGAATGCTAGGGAATCAGGGATGATTGCTCTCGAATCCAATGTAAATACCAAGCTAAGACTGTTCAGTTAAATAATTCGATCAACCTACACGTCTAGAGTTTAATCCTCAATAACTGTTCGTAACAAGAGGGAAAACATAGACGGTAAATCAAACCAATCAAACAACACATAGGCAATACAATCACGAATAAGCCTACTCTAATCGAGCCTAGATCGATCGACTTCTCCCCTTTCGGTTCTACAAGTCAATTAAATAGGTCAGGATGGTGATCAAGCATCTAACCCTAGGTTTAATTCAACTCGAATAGATCGAACAAAAATCGTAAGCAAGGTAAACACACAAACACGAGTAATCATCCCCTATCCCTAGCTCAAGGATTTAGCCACTCATGTCAAGATGAACACAAAATATTGTATACAGTAAATATTCCAAACTCATAGTCAAATGAGAAGAAAACTTACGATAGATAAATAAAGAGTGTTAATCTCAAGCACAATCTGAATCCACGATCAAAATCCTTGGGTGTCACTCCCAAAAATCTCAAAGATAAGCAAAGATAAAAGGAACAAGTTTTCGTCTGATAAAACGAGAGAAAAATGAAAAGTGCCGAATACCCTCTGAAACCCTTGCTCGATCCTATTTAAACGCCCACAGTTTAATGACTTAAAATATCAGGCGCCATGGCGCGGGGCAGGGGCACCTTCACGGCGTGGGGGCAGGGGCACGGCTTTGAAGAACTAACACTCGGGTTGATCCGTCTTGAAGGCCGCTACTCGGTTATTTGACTGGCTCCAAATGTGATGAAAAACCTGAACCTACACACCACCACAAACAAAAGAAAAACACACGAAAACAGACAAAAGAGCAGAAAATATCGAAAACGAAAAATAAACGGCAAACACACCAAACAAACGACTAGTGGACCAAAAGAACTAAAAGATTCCTAAAAACGGGGGGAAACACTAACAAATAAACAAAGAAAAAAGATGATAAAAATGGGACAAACATGTCCCTTAGGTGGAAGGTAATCAAATTTATTTATATTTAATACTTAGATTATTCCCATTATCCAAATTTGTTTTTGTTTTTAATTTTTTTATAACTTAATTCCTAATTATTTTTTTTTTTTTTTAAAGTTCGATTGGGTGCCCTATCAGCGGCACCTGGACGAGGGTACTCTCCTGGCTCAGTGTACAGAAGGCTCACGCCTCTGGATGTATAAGGGGTGGATCTTCTGTTGGAACATCCGTGAACTCCACCTGCTTGATATGGTCCTCTGTCAGTTCGGGTGTCAGCAGTCCATCCCCGACCCTCTGATCATTAGGGGTGAGCCAAATGGGAGACAGACCACCGAGGCCAGGGAATGACTGTGAGGGAATTCAATGATTGAGTCGCCTTTCTGGAGAGCTTGGGAATGCTTGGGTCGAACAAAGAGACCAAAATGTCCTCCCACATTTCCCTGTGGAGTCATTCCTTGAGCCTGAGGGCGGCTACATTGATTGGTTTCACAGTACGACTATGAGACTAATCAGTGACCCTGCCAAGTACACAGTGGTCCAAGAGGACGGAGGCTATCAACCACTTGCTAGCGGGGGAAGTGTGGTGTAAGTGTTCATAATTTGTGGTTTATTATTATTATTATTATTATTATTATTATTATTATTATTATTATTATTATTATTATTATTTTGTTTGTGTTTCATACTAATTACTTTGAATTTAATTTTCAGGCTACCGCCATGGAGGGGGCTTATGACTCGTTAGCGAGTCTTGAACACATGTTTCACATACTCCCTCTAGAGACGCAGGCTGCAATCTAACATTCCCAGAACCTTCTCTACACTTCTCTGACTGTCGGAGGCGGAGAGGTCACACAAGGGACGTCGTCGAGCCAAGTTCTATCGCCGGAGAGCTACGTCCGACCCCAGAGGACGCACTCACACCGGGCGAGACATCAACCTGCTGCCCACATTGGTGGAGGTAGAAGACGACGCGACCGCGAACCCGCTGCCGACACTGGGCCTGAGGAAGAAGAAGAACGTGAAAATTTTTTACTTAAAAAAAAATAATTTTATTTATTTATTTATTTTTTGTCCAGTCGAATTTATGAATTTTTAAAAAAATGAATTACTCAGGTGAAGAAGAAGAAGCTGCCACGCCTTTCATGACCACAACCTCGTCTTCTTCACTACCACCACGACGTTGGATGGGTTCCCGAAACCGCAAACCTAGGGAGCCTTAAACTCCTAGTTAGGCTTCGAATGTATTCGGGAATTTTGTGGACATATTTGTTTTTTTGTTTTTTTTTCTGTGGATTATGTGTACTGATATTTGAACATATTTGTATTTTGAATAAAATATTGTGGTTGACTTTTTGTATATAATGTATGTATGTTAGGTTATTATTTGACGAATGGATTGATATTGGTTTGCCGAACAGGTATATTTGGATGTGGGATGGATCCCGACAAACGATGTTTTGGTAATACGTTTTAGGGCAAAATAGATTTTAGGGCAAAATTGGTTTTAGGGCAAACATAAAACGGATTTCGGAAATACGTTTTAGTGTAAAACATATTTCCGAAATCCATTTTAGTGTAAAAGGTATTTCGCAAATACATTTATATTTTTAAAAAGATTAATTTCTGCAATAATAAATTACAAAATTAATTTTATTTATAAAACGTATTTTGAGAATGCGTTTTTAAGCTTTTTAAATTTATTTTTTGCAATAAAAAATATATAAAATTAATTTTATTAATAACACGTATTTCAAAAATATGGTTTTTAAAATTTTATATATAAAACGCATTTTAAAAATACGTTTTAAGTTTATTTAATTAAGTTAATCATGTAATTAATTATATTGACCTAAAAAACGTATTGTAAAAATATGTTTTACAAGGTAAAACTTATTTTTGGAATACGTGCTTTTTATTTTGGTCAACTCCTTTTTTTTGTTTTTGTCCACTTAATTTTATTTTATTTTTAAATAAATAAAAAAATCTAAGGGGATAAGCCCATATTTGGCACCTACTTAAGGTCCCTAATGTAGTCTATAAATACACCATGTCTTGGACTCTCCCCACACAAGACCACACGCCTAAACTAAAGATTCCTAACGGAAGAAGGAGTTTTTTGTGTGTTCTATATAATGAGAGTTTGAGAGATCTGAAAAATTGCCCACCAAGATTTTTCGGAGTAGGTGTTTAGATCATACATTAGAAGATCTTAAGGTTAGATAGATCAAACCCATAGATCTCTTATTTTTCGGTCAACCGCCGCCACCCAAAGTTGCCGGAAGCCGCCCAGCGCCCAGCCGCAAGCCAACGCCCGCAACCGCGCGCAGCCAGACGCTGCCGCACGTCACTAGCGATGCACCGTGCCTTGCCGTCCCTGCCTGCTCGTGTCCTGCAATCGACCCTAGTTCCTCGTGCCCCGATCCTAGCGCGCGAGAACACGCGCGTGCTGCTCTTCCCACGGACCGCACACCCGCGTGACCCCAGACGCCCGAGCCCAATCTGCATCGGCCTAGGAGTCCCACGACAGAGACGCACACGCTCGAGAACCCAGCGTCTGCACCCGTCTATCCCGCGACCGCGTGTCCCAGCCACCCGACGCGCACCGTCCCCGACGCACCAGTGATCCGCGCCCCGTCTGCGACTAGACCCGATCAGCGCCGGTCCGAGCCAACCTGTCCGCGACCCATGATCCGACCAGACCCGACACATGACCCGATCGATTCAACCTGAGTCTCGACCGACTCAAACCCGATCCAACCGGTCCGAGCCCGACGTGCCCGATCTAGTGATCTGTTCGTGATTCAACACTCGATTAGAATTGACAAAGGACAAACCCTTTAACCGATTGGGTTGTGGTAATCAGACGATCTCCATCAAAGAAAATCATAAACGTCTCTGAGTCGGTATAAAGTTTAAATGGTAATGTCCTATCCCTAACTATAGATTCCGCTGCATTAGGGTTTATTTTTCCAAATTTCAAAACGTGCATGTTGTTGTCGTTCCTAATAAAACCCAACAAGACGAGAGCTTGTTCTCGTACTCGAAGTGCATACAATTGTTCTTTTTATTCTTTTGATCGAAGTACTTACGAGGACTACTTAGATTAATTTGAGAGAGTCAAACTAGAAAAACCACAAGGAATTTGTGGTCGGATAAGTAGTTGGCGTAGATAGTTACTTCAAGCATAGTGTAGAGGGACTCTGCATTGTAAGTCCTTGTGTAATGGTTGTGAGATCTAGACAAAAGAAAGAGATCCGGAGGGAGAGTGAGAGCTCTCCTGAAGGTTCAGTTTTAAGAACCTTTGCTTCCGCAAGTGTGTGAACTTTCTTAAGTTTACTGTTTTATTCGTTTAGCGCTATTCTGATTGTTTGTGTATATCGTTGCACAACTTAAATTATCATTGTAATTATCAAACAAGTCTATTGAGTTCGGAAAACAATAGTTCGTTTGATAATGGGAGGGCTAGATGATATAGCATATAAGGATAGTTCGGTTGAACCAGTCACGGTTAGCTCGGATTGTAGGCTAAAGACTAGCTAGGCCGATTGGTTTAGACTTAGTAAGGACCCAGTTAGGTGGTTGTGATAACTGGAGTATGTTCATAGCTCGACAGAAGGGTAGCTCGGACAACACAGTCATGTCTGTAGGTCGGCAGAAGGGTAGCTAGGACAACACAAATATGTATGTAGCTCGGCAGAAGAGTAGCTCTGACAACACAGACATGTCTATAGCTCGGATGATATAAGGAGCTCGGACAAAAATGAGCTCGGCATAGGGTAGCGCGGGAATTTGATAGTTTGATAGACGACCTAATTAGGAAGAGGGCCGACCTACAGAGGAGGTCGAGTCCAGGTTATCCACGAGGGACATGTATAGGGCTGTGAATAAAAGAGACATGTAATCGGACGGATAAAAATGAGGCTAAATAACCAACAAGCAGACTTACGGGTATAATCGACGGGTAGCTCTTTTGGCAGAAAGGGCACTTGGGCAAGCTTTCGTGCAGTTGGCCAGGTCTCAAGCTTGTTCAAGAAGCTAATAATCTTCTATAAATAGGTAAAATTAGGGAAAGGTAAATGATCATCACACTTTATATACACCAAATTTTTAATATATATTTATATAACTATTCATATCACCTTATTAATTTGATCGTTCGAAGATTTAACGTCGAAAACATCTCCTGAGGTCTATGTAGGTATCCGAAGAGCAAATAAGTAAGAGGAATAATGGAGAGCCGATTCAATGTGCAACGGTACATCACATGTAATGCACAAACACCAGTCTACATGTTGTGAATCCGTTTTGACTCTCCTCGTAGACATTTCTCAGTAAATAGAAATATATGATTTGTATTGAAGTGTAATAAAAAATTGCCATGGAGGGTGGTTCCCCTTTGTCCCCGCCGCCAGATGTGACGGCTGCCTCTAGCGGCGGAGCCTCCAAGTTCCTCGCCAACCTTCCATCTCGCGGGTTCTTCTCTTCCACCGTCATTTCCTCCAACCCGGTACATGTCGCCGCGTAAACCCTAGCCCCCGCACCCGTTTTTCGTTGTCTTCTAATCATTCTTCATATCTATTGGCTTTTGGAAAATACATCTGAACCTGTAATTACATATTGAGTTATTGTGGTGTCTTTAATGTTATGAATGTTGTAATTACCTGTGTTTGATAGATTTTGAGGGATGTTTCTAGGCTTCATTCGACTAAGGAGATTGCTCTTTTGATTCAGTGAGAAGTGGACATTGAGCTTAATGGAGTTATCCTCAATTTGAGTGTTTTGTTAAAGAGTCGTCTTCATCAGATTTTGCAGCATAGACCAGAGTAAAGCTAGACAGAAACAAAAAATGAAAAAAATAAAAAATAAAAAATTGTAACCTGAATTTCTAGAATTTCTGCTTGTTGAGAAGTTTGAATAGTATTCTTTTGAAATTGATGCCCTGGTTTCTAGTTTTATGTGCAGTGTAATAGTGAATAAGTAGCAGCAGTTAGGAAAAAAATCATGTAAGTTGTTTGTTTAGCACAGGTCATTTCACAAGTTCACCCTTGGGTTTGCTTTATATAGATTTCAAGATTCTGATACTGTTGGACAATTGTTCTTTAGAGTTTCCAATTTTTGTTCACAACTTCAGTTCTTCTTTGACTTTTCTGATTAAGACATTTTTCCAGTGGAATCTGAATGCACTTCTTAGGTCTCTTCCTGAATTATGTAGGATTACCCCCTTATAGTGAGGCTGGTGCATAAGATGCATTTTTTTTTTTCCTAGTTTCTGACAAGTGTCAAAATTCTTGTTTGATATTTAACCAAATCAATTCAACTAACGCCAATTGAATACAATAAAGTCTGATTTCCTCATGACATTTTTGTGGGTTGATTGTAAGAGTTTTATGCAATGCTTTCTAGTAAAGGTAGAATATTGAGCGAGTTAAAAGAATGCAACCTGAATTGTTAAAAATAGATTAGCGGATGAGACTATGACATACTCTAACTACTGGACCCAATTGTTCTTAATAGCTCCTTTCTGATACACTATATTTTCCCTTACTTCAGATACTCATTGAAGGTTTTTATGATGTTAACAATTTACATGCTACTTGAAGAATGTGACTGAAATTACTCGTCTCTTCTTTATTTCTGTAGAAAGTAAGGGGATGATGTACATACAGCGGCCTTTCTTTATTATCACCGAGGATATTTTTGTCTGCCTACTAGCATCACCATTTTTTATTTTTTTTTCATTTCTTTTTCCTTTGCCCCCCTTTTTATGCATATTATATTTTACCTATATACAGGGTGGGATGCGGGTTTACATTTGCGATCATGATACCTCTCCTCCAGGTTGCTTTCTGCATCTTTTATATTTTATCATATGGGTTCACAAATTGATATCATATTAATTTAAGATCATGACACTCTTGACTTTTTCTTGCACATGGAAGTATCAATGGCTTCTTTTCCACATTACAGTGCATTTTACTGGTAGTTATGAACTCATCTCTGATATGTGTGTTCTCTCCTTTAGGATATGGTTTTTTCTTCAGATTCATGGTATATCCTCCAATTTTAATTGTCATGGTCCGTTATTATGATGCTCTCATGTAAGGGATTAGGGGTTTCTTAACTTCGCTTGGATCTTCAATTTTCTGAAAAGTGAGAGTGAAGCATGCAAAGCACATGTCAATCCAATTTGAATTACATTTCTGAGGAAACAAGAATTTTGATAGTTCTCCAATCTAGTTAATATCATAACAAAAAGAATGGTGAGCTTTTATAATTGTGGTATTTCTATAAGCTTTCCACATCTTATATTCGATCAACAATAAACTAAAGGAAAATGTAAATTTAGTTTCTGGTGTTATTTTTACAAAATTTCTTAGGTCCAAACATTGTGTCAAATGTACTCCATTTACCTGTGAGAAAAATTAAGGACTCTTTTGCAGCCGCTCTGATATTACGGAAACTCTTGTTGAACATAATTATGCTTTAATTCTTTTACGTTTATCTGTCCTTAATTTCCTAACATGTTCCTACTTAGCTGGACTATGCATTTAGATGCATTATTATTCTTGTTCTTCCTTGTGTTGCACCGTGTTGTTTATGTCTTCCATTTTTCTGTTTCTCTCTGCTGTATTTAATGAGATGTCTCAACTTGGTTATGTTGTCAGATAGCCAGCTTATAAAGACAAACCAAACAAATATATTGATTAGGTCTCTTATGATTAAGAATCAAAAGGGTGATTCTAGTTCAAAAGATGGGAAAGGCACTGCTTCTCTTCAAGGTTCTAGGAAAAGGTGACAATGAATCATTTTACTTTAGATTAACATTTTGGTGATAAATTTCTTCTATAGTTAGGCTAATTTTTTTTGTGTTATTTTATTTGTTGCTCCAGGGCTGCCGAGAAAGTTTTGGATAAAGCTGCCGGAAAGAAAGCAGTATCAAGCACTCAGCTTGGTGCCTCTCAAGGTAAGATGCGCATCCTATGCATTTTTATGGCTTATACTATAAAGGGTATCCTATATCCATGTATCACAGGTTTATATATTTCTATGTGATATTTAACCTTTGTGTTTTATCATTTTAACTGGATTCTCTTTGGGCTCCTTTACGTATCTTGGCGGGATAGAGTAGTTTTTTGGCATGGTGTTGGAAAGCACTGTACAGATAGTATGTTTGTTTGTTTATTTCAACGAGTTATGTTTTGAATGATTTTAGATATGTATTCTCATCTTCTTTTTCTTTTTCTTGATAATACATATATGACAATAACACCCCTTTTTATTTCAACTTTAAAATGCGAAAGGTACTCTTTACCACAAATGTTGAGTAGAATATAGACTTTCAATATTCAGATAACATGGGACAAAAATATTATCTCCCAACCCGTCAGATGGAATTGTCAAAATTATGTGAGAGCTGTATCCTGCCCAACATTTATTCCTGGGCAATTATCTAAGCAAAATCAGAAATGAAACGACATCTACCTATATCCTATGCTAACCAGCTAAATAACAAGGCCTTTAGGATCAGTCTCAAATTTTCTTCAGAGTTTTCACGGTATTAAATTCACTTTATATTTGTTGCTTTTATAGTTAGCTTAAGCTGACCTGTCAATTACCTCTATACACCGCTTATGTGTGTGTGTGCGTGCGCGTGCTATGTGGTGTGATAATTCACAGAGAATTTAAAATCTTCGAAGCTTGGTTTTAAATTAAGGGTAATCATTGGAATTTTTTTTAGATGAGATAGTCATTTGTTCAGGTTCAGGTAAATGTTGTTTGAGTGTGCTAAATAGGTTCTTGACTTGACTTCCTAAAATCAAGATTACATAATGATGTGCTGTTGTTTCAATTCCTGATATGGTATTTAACAACGCCCAAACTTTAATGTGGTAAGCTGAATATGGATATTAGGGATCCCGACAACTCGGGATACTTTATAAGTAACATATCAACATTATCTCTGTTTCTGCAATCACTAAGAGGCGAACTTATAAATCTTAACTTATAAAGAAAATGACAAAGGATATATGAATTTCTTACATTATTTTTACATGTATCAGACTAGTAAGGCTGATAGAGTGTAAAAAGACCATGTTCTTTTTCTTAATATCATAAATAAAATTCTTGTTGATTTTATTCAAGGATAAAACATTTATGGAATCGTGTGAACATGCAGGGGGATCAACTCGTTTGCTTGACAAAGATCTGCAGAGCTTTACAGTGGAAAGACTGCGTGTTTTTCTTAAGGAAAGAGGCCTTTCAGTGAAGGGGAAAAAGGCAAGTTTCGGCCTATCACATAACTTATATTACTAGTTAATGCATTGTATTATTGTTTGTGGCTAAAAAGGCTTGATTATATTTTCTTGCCTGTCATTAACTCTCTTTTCTTCTTTTTTTATATATTTATTATTTTCTTTTCCGAAACAGGACGAGTTGATTGCCCGCTTGAGAGGCATGAATGGCTAAAACAGAGTTGTAAGGTTGAGAGGCTAATGCACCCTCCACTTGGTAATTATAGTTGTGTGCTTTTGGTGTTTTGGAAAACCTTGTAACTCAGATATATTATGAGATGGTTATTTACTGTTGGGAGTTATCTTATTGTATTATGCTGTATTAACTATTACTACATACTTCTTTCGATTCATGCATCTTATGTAGACATGGCCACGGGCCGAACTGGCCCGCAGCCTGGACCGGAAACCGGCACTGAACCGGCCCGTAACCGGCCATATAAGGGGCCGCAGTTCGGTCCAGGTTCAAAAAAAAAAATTTGGTCCCGGCGGTCCAGTCCAGGTCAGGTCGGGTCGGGTCACGGGCCGACCGCCAGCAACGGTTTCTCCTTTTTTTTTAATTTTTTTTAATTTTTATTATATTTTATTTGACGGATCGGGCCGAGTCAACCAGACCGAACCGGACCGACCCGACAACCTGTCAGAGGTCGCGCCATGCCCATACCGACTAGCCGTTGGGCCGTCCTGGGCCACGGGTCGGGCCGGTCCGGGTACGGGCCCAACGGTCAAAATTTAAAAAAAAAGAATTAATATGGGTCGTTGGATCGTTGTGATCCAACGTTTCCAAAAAAAAAATCAAAAAAAATAATAAAAATCCAAAAATAAAAAAAACACCACATCTCCCCATTTATTTTTATTTCATCATATTCTATATAATTTTTTCCCATTTATTTTTTATTCTTTAAATTATAAAATGTCAAGCTCTTGTGGTGGTCGTGGTTCGAATTTCGGAAAGAAACGTATAAATATCGGCACCGGCACGTCTTCGTCGAGACCTCCATTGTCGAAATTTGCGAGTCCATCGATACATGTGGATATTCCCGGTGTCGCCGATGACATTGATGAGGCGACGATCGAGCGAATGTTTGGCTCAATTCAGCCTGAACAACAAGAGCAATAGCAGCCGTATCACGATCATTTCGATGATATATTTGGAGAGTCCCCGCCGGAGGTTCAGCAACCGACGCAGCAGCAACAGCCGGACCCAGAGGTCCCGGACCCGGGCCACCCGGCCTCTGTCTCCGCCCGTGCCAGACCGGCATCTGCCATATTCAAACAACATTACACGAAGGTGGCCAATCCAACAAGAGGTGAGAATCACTTTTATGCTGTTTGCAACTACTGCCCGGCGAACGAGAAGAAGCAGTACCATTTCAAAAAAGGCGACGGGTACGGATCGTTGAAACGACACTTAGAGAGGAATCATCCTACAAAATTGGGAATTGACAGGGCACAGACGCAACTCCCGAGTAGTAGCGCTGCATCTGCCACGATTGGTACAGGTACGTCATCTTTATTTCAGTACACATGAAAATCATCGACGCCATTTAGCTGAATTTGTTTCTGCTTCATCTCTTCCGTTTAGCTTTGGTGATAGTGATTTATATGAACATTTTGCTCAAATGGCTTTGAATCCGGCTGCCCACCGGGTTCCACGTACTACTCTTACTCGCGATATTCGAAAAATAGTGGCGGAAAAAAAGTAATTTTGCAAGAAACTTTTAAATCTTTAAATCATAGAGTATTCATTTGTGCTGATATCTGGTTTGATCATTGGCAAAATAATTTATATTTGGGAATTACTTGTCATTGGATAGATGAAAATTGGAGTTTACAAAAACGTTTAATTGCTTATGTTGCATTTCATGAACGACACACTGCTTCTAATATTGCTCTTTTAATTTCAAAAATTTTGGATAAATATCAAATAGGTAAAAAAGTGTTTTCCATTTCGTTTGATAATGCTACTGCAAATACTGCATATATACGTGAACTTACCGATATTTGCACTCCAATTTGCGGCGGAAGATTTTTTCATATTCGTTGTATATGTCATGTCTTAAATCTGTGTGTACAAGCTGGTTATCATGATTTTAAAGATTCGGTCACGCCAATTAGGGACGCTGTTAATTATTTACATAAACGTCCCCATGGGGACGTTTTTGTAAAGATCAAGGTGTGAAACCTAAAAAATTTCAACCCGACGTTCCTAACCGGTGGAACTCAACATTTAAAATGTTGAGTGACACGGTTCCGTTTATAACACAATTGCAGAATTTTTTTAACCATTCAAACCGTAAGGACTGTGATGTTCGAGTGTCAACAAGAGATTGGGAGAACTGTAATGCACTTATTCAATTTTTAGAAACATTTCAAAATGCTACTAACATGCTTTCAGGTGTTTATTATCCTACTGCTCAGCTTGTGTTAAGTCAAGCTATAACCATAATGTGGGCTTTCAAGGATCTTTACGACTTGAATTTTAATAAATATGGTTATTTAGTTGAGGAAATGTTAAAGAAATGGTTAAAATATTATTATTTCATTCCTGATACACATTTAGTTGCATGTTTGTTAGATCCTTCGGTACGTGAAGCTCGCTTGGTAGAGCAGCTTAACATGTACTATAATTATATGTATGAACTCCCAATCCCGACTGATGTCCCGACATATAGTCAAAAACCTAACGTACTGCTGCTCGTCGAGCAAGCAAAAAATTTGTTGTATGACATGTTTAGGGAAACAGTGACCGCACAAGGTGAACCTCCCAGCACATTTGCTCGTGGCGGCGGGGGTAGCAGCAGCGGGTCTTCTTCTTACGGCGGTAGTCAAGTAGGCGCTTCGAACTTTCAGGAGTGGTGGACATCATTAAATCCCTACAAGTATGTTGGCGCTGAAAGGGCAAAGGGAACTGGTACTATGAGCTTGATCACTACCTAACGTCGAATTTAATACTTACGATTGCTCGTGAACCAAGTCCGCCACTAAATTTCGATGTCTTGGACTGGTGGTCGAGAATGCAAGGCATATATCCTATTCCTTGCTTGATGGCCAAAGAGATTTTCGCCGTCCCAGCATCTACAGTTGCGGTCGAACAAGCCTTCAGCGAGGGAGGTTATATGCGTGCGTCGAGGCTGACGCCCGAAAATCTACAAGCACAAATGCTGCTGATGGATTGGAAAAAGGTCGAACGAAGGATGCAAACGGCTATGTACGTAGATGAAGAAGCAGACGACGACGATGACACATCCGATTTTACGAGTACGACGAGTGGTGGAACCGGAATAGGAGATGACGAGTATGACTATTAGAGACAACCACTTGTGTACAGGTAAGTAAATCGAAAGAACTACGTGGACTTTGATTCCCAATATAAGGGATACGTAGGCAACTTAATTGACATTTATAAATTAAAATATCATTTTTTTTCCAAAACAAAAAAAAAAGTTCAAGTTATATGATATTTTAACTTAATAAATGTTAATTAAGCTCAAGTCCAATTTTTTTTTTCTTTTATATCAACTTTAAAATATCTAAACGTAACAAGAATTAATTTGCCTCTAGAAAACATTGTTCAGAAATTCAGGCAATAATATCAATTATTCCAATAATGCCCCGCCCACAATCTCCATTGTTGTATTGTAGACGTATTAGAGAGTGCGACGCAGGTTCCACAACGGAGATTGTGTGCGTGGCATTATTGGCGTAATTGATGTTATTGCTTTGATCATTATTTGGTCAATTTTTGGAATTTCTTGAGCTGTAAGTAAATTAAAAAAAAAAAAATACTTGGACTTTTTTACAAGTCAAAATATCAATTAAAATAAGTTAAATTACATCAATAGAAGGATGTTCTATAATGAAGACAATCGCAGTATCTTAACTTAACAAGAATTAATTTTCCTCTAGAAAACATTGTTCAGAAATTCAGGCAATAATATCAATTATTCCAATTTTGCCCCGCCCACAATCTCCGTTGTTGTATTGTAGACGTATTAGAGAGTGCGACGCCAGTTCCACAACGGAGATTGTGTGCGTGGCATCATTGGCGTAATTGATGTTATTGCTTTGATCATTATTTGGTCAATTCTTTGAATTTCTTGAGCTGGAAGTAAATTAACAAAAAGTACTTGGACTTTTTGACACACCACTAATACGTAGGCACCTTAATCCTTAAGTTAAAATATCAATTAACATAAGTTAAATTACATCAGTAGAAGGATGTTCTATAACGGAGACAATCGCAGTTGGCGTCGTTTACAGGGTTCTTAACGTTTAACAATCTTCCAACACTGCAAGGAAGCTGCAGTCTTCCAATATTGATACAATAATCCAATATTTTTAGTGGTGTGTGAAAAAGACTGCAGCTTCCTTGCAGTGTTAGATGATTGTTGAACATTTAAGAACCCCGTAACCGATGTCAACGGCAATTGCTTCCGTTATAAAACATCTTTCACAAATTTAAACAATAACATCAATTACATCGATTATGCCACGTCCACATTCTCCCATTGTGGATCCTACTTCTCACTCTCGCATACGTCTACAATATAGCAGTTAGAGTTCTATGACACAGGCCGACATACAAATTCTTCAATACTTGAAGTTTGTTGAAGTTTTGTTTGTGTATACTATCTCTATATTGTTGTATTGTAGGCGTATGAGAGAGTCAGAAACAACATCCACAATGAGAGAATGTGTGCGTGGCATAATCGGTATAATTGATGTTATTGCTTTCAACTCTAATTGGTAAACTTTTCGAATTTCTTAGAACTGAAATCCACAATGAATCACGACCTTAAAAAATGAATGCCTAATATTGAAACTTAAAAGAACTACGTGAACTTTGATTCCCAATATAAGGGGTATGTAGGCACCTTAATTGACATATGATATACTATACTTATTAAATGTCAATTAAGCTCAAGTCCATTTTTTTTTATCAACTTTAAATACATATGTTAATTTAACAGTATCTTGAGTTTCCGTTATAAAACATCTTTCTCAAATACATATGTTAATTCAACAGTATCTTGAGTTGCATCAACGTCATCATGCAATCCGACTCCAATACACAGTCTGGAGTAATATATCCATTCTTTTTGTTAGTATCCTCAAGCATGTTACTTAATAGATGTTGTCCAAGTTATCATCTTTGGTGTGCAAGATGTTGATACTATTATCCCACAGTCCTATACGGGTACATACCTTTTCATGCATAACTGGTACCGTTGGATAATGATATAATACTAATGTCAAATGTTAATGACTCAACTGCAAGTTTACCATAACATTATTTTGCATCCCTTTTCTCGACATTGAGTACGTATTCAAAAGATAAGTCTGTATAAGCATTCTGTTGTTTGTGTTATAGCAGACGTAATCTAGCATTGACAGCATAATATGTAATGGAGAATATTGACCTGATATCATTGTCCTAAATGAAGTTCATGTTTTGAGTTCATCTTCTAAAGTTCAAATATTAACTCAAAAACATTAACAACAAAAGGGAATTGTGATGTCACGTCAATATTCTTTATTATGTATTATGCTTTCAATTCTAAATTTCGACTGCTATAGCACAAACAATAGAACGCTTATACAGACTTAGTTATCTTTTGAATACGTACTCAATGTCGAGAAAAGGGATGCAAAATAATGTTATGGTAAACTTGCAGTTGAGTCATCAACATTTAACATTTGTCTGATACCATTATCCAACAGTACAAGTGATGCGTGAAAAGGTATGTACCCTTATGGAATTGTGGGATAATAGTATCAACATCTTGTACGCCAACAATGATAACTTGGACAGCTTCCGTTAAGTAACATGTTTGAGGCCATTAACAAAAAGAACGGATATATTACTCGAGACTGTGTACTAGAGTCGGATTGCATGATGACGTTGATGAAAATCAAGATATTGTTTAACTAACATAATAAAATTGAATTTCGCAAGTCCTACAAAATAACACTATACCGGCGGAACCGCCGATCAATCAAAAACGGTAATACATCTCAACATATTTTTTATTTACCCAAAAAAAAGAAAATAAAAAAGAACCCGCGAACCGCCGGAACCGGACCGAACCGACGGAAAACCGGCGGGNTAAAAAAAATGTATAACCGTAGGTTAAACAACCCTATATACTCCCACCAGGGAGACCAAAGAAACACCAACTAAAGTGTTCTAAACAAAATACCTATCGGGATTAACAGCCACTGACAGAGACCGCGCTTTTGAGATAGGGGTTTGGTGATCAATCCCTAGCCAAAATAGAGGGGCGTGACCATTGATCTAAGACCCTAGCCACACCACTGCAAGGAGAATAAGCTAACAGAGGAAAATAAAAAAAAAAGATACAACAGCTAGGCTAATGAAAGAAACCGAAACCGAGCAGAACAGACAAAATATAGCAAAAGAGAGTCAACTATACAAAAGAAGCAGAGTAGTCAAGCCATTCTCTGCAAGCCGAATTCATCACTATTTTTTCAGTTTTCATGTGTACTGGAAGTAGATCAAATTCCTAGATTTCCAGATAACCGATAGAATGTAAGCAGTGAGGTTGAGTCTATCATTAGCACAGGGAGATTTCTTGATGGAGCAAAGCTTTGCCCACCAACCTTTGAAGTTGAGATTGTCAAGAGTAGTACCATCCTAGCAAAGAGGTGAAAGTTTCCATATGAGTTGAGCTCTAGGGAAGTGGAAAAATATATGCTCTTGTGACTCAACTTCATTCCCACAGATTTTGGATCAGAAGCTAAGTTCTTTTCGACCAAATTAATGAGGACAGCTTGCAGATTCTCCACACACCTCCATGTAAAATGTCTGATTTTCTCTTTGACTATGAGGCTCCAGCTTCTAGTTCTCATAGCTTTCTCAGCAATGTGATTTCTGCTAGATTCAACAATGTCCATATTTCTCCACTTCTTCTCTATCAGCTTTGAGTAAACTGAGGCTACAGATAAAAAACCTGTCTTTTCATACATCCAGTGCAGCTTGTCTTCTTGAGAGGGGTCCAAGTCTTTGAGATTGAGAATAGCTTTGTTATCTTCAGCAGAAAAGTGCCTTCCCCTCCCAAACCCTCATATTTTTGGCATCACACTTAAGTGATAGGAATTTAACTCACTTTTCCTTTGTCTTTGCTGTTGCCTTTTCCTCGTTCATCAGTTTTTAACTTTTATTTGTTCTTTTTTATAACTTTAACCTCTCAAATTGTTTACGTATTCTTATTTCTCTTTACAAGACGAATCTAATCCACCATTCCATTACAATTTTCATCGTGGCTTCATTGCTCCTCATAAGTTTTACCTTTGTTCAGCATTTTATTCTTTTTATTATTATAATAATAATAATAATAATAATAATTACTATTATTATTATTATTTTCGTATCGATTATCCAACCAGTTTTTTAGTTACTTCCGAGATAACCATGTAAGAATAAAAAGAAAAATTCAATTAGGCCCATATCATATATGTTTATAGGCCCAATCCTATATATAAAAAACCCGACAACCCATAATTCACCTAACGTGCCATACTCTAGCCTACACAACCAAACTCTTTTGCTTCCTTCAGTCGTGCCAGCCTCCAGGTTCCCCGTTGAAGAAGATCCCCGTGGCGGCACACCCTTCGCAGTCCGTTCCATAGGGTCGAAGAACTCCGACGGCACACCCCGGTGGCGATTATTTTCCATCCGTTGTAGATGGCTATGAAGTGGAAGATGAAGGGCAGTTGAGCTTGTGAAGAAAAAAGGGTGATCTGTTTGCTGGTCGGAGATGTTATCAACATATGCGTTGGTTGATGCTGTCGAAATATGGAATATATCAACACTTGTTAGATGAACATGAACCTTTTTTTTTTTGCACAATACCAGTTCGGTAATTTTGGTATAAAACCGAAATCGAATCGAATTATCAGTAACCGACTTAATTTGGTCAGTTTTGGTTTTGTATTTCGGGGTTACCGAAACTGCCGGTTCTATCGGTAATACAATATTGGTTCGGTAACTAAACCGAACCCACCCCTAAGTCCATTCACACTTAGAAACAAATTTATTTTCAGAATGAGAAAACTGAAGAGAATGGACTATGTCTTTTGTTTTCTCAAAATCTTGCATTTATACAGGCTCCTCTATTACTGCTCCACCGACAGTAGGTGAGTGGAGGTTGCGTGTATCACATGTTCCTGGGCCTCTTGAATTATTGCCCCAATTTTTATGTTTCGCATGGCGGATGTCTCCCACATCCGAATCAACCGATTCAACTCCTTATCATTTTTTGTTGTTTAAAAGAATCATCATGTCCCACCATTCTCAACTGGGTGTCTTTCTTTCTCCTTTTGATTATTAGGGAATTTAATTTTTTTGAATTCTCTTTTCTCGGGTTATCCCTTGGGATATATTTGTCTTTCTTTGCTGAATTTTTTACCAAATAATGGTTTTTTTTTATATTCACAACTTGAACATAGTCTTTTATGCCATCTTTCGACATGAATCATGTTACACACCTTTCGTTGTGTATCCTCGATAGCCAGTAATCTATTTTTCCATAAGAGTTTCATCTTATTTCCAAACATCTCATTGGCAAACTTAAAAGTACTACCTGTCATGGTGTTAAGTAAGAATGTTCCATTTGTAGAGTTTTGATAAATTCTAAATGGATATTATTTATTTTTGTCAGACACACTCATATTTCTCATGCTCGTTTGGTTGAGATTTCATCTTCAAACATTGGTTAATACAATGGTGTCGCCTCAACCGCTTTAACATTACTTAAGGCCTTTTTATCTACCATTTGAAGCTTGATAAATGAAAAGCAAGATGTCATCCTTTTTTACTTGTTGTTTCTAGAGCTTCAGATATGAATTTTAACTACAGAACTGCACCTTGTTTTAAATGTGAATTGTAGTACCATGACTCATGAACTGCATTAACAACCCAATATGATAATTCTATATTTTTGTAAAACATGGTGCAACTATGAATACATACACCAAGGCTCCAAAGTTCATCTATTTTTGAACTTGAATGGGTCCCACTTCTTCAATTGCCCAAAAATGTGGATATTTTTCTGAATCACCGACGATAAGTTTGTCAGTCTGTACATCACTTCTGGTTATTAGATCTTCCATCGTTTTATTACAGTCCACCTAATAATAGTCATGACCGTTAGTATCAATCTCCTTTCGGCTTAATATTTTTCTCATTTACTTCAGAGGCATCGGGCTTTTTTTTTTAGTGGGAACACCTCAGAAAGGCAGGGGTTAAGGCAGGACCCCCAACCTATATATAAACATGCCTAAGATGGGCTGGAGAATCACAGTTCTACAAAGTCATACAACAAGCACAAACAAAAAGACCGGAAGCAAGAGGGAAAAGCAAAAGAAAGGAAAAGAAAAAGGAAGCAAAGGCCAAAGTGAAAATTTGAAAATTGGGATAACAGGTGCCCAGGCAAATAGTCTGCGCGACAAGTGGGCTAAAGCGTAAAAATCAAAATGACTACCCAAATCTTAAAAATGGGTAACTGTAGCGCCCCGTTTATTAATGGATAATTTTAGGATTATTTATTATTATTTATTAATATTATTATTACCTATTGTTTGTTATTAATATTATTGTCATTATTATTATTATTTTTATTATTGTTATTATTTTATTTAAATGCCTAATTGTGAAATAAATGTTTAATGTGTATTATTATTATGAATAATGTGTGAAATATATTTTATTATAATAACCGAATTTTTGTTATAAAATATCGTGCGAACCGAGCCATTTTATATTGGCTAAATCAACCGATTTATCGAGCCCGAGAGATTGAGCCCGAGAGAACTGTATGCATTGGATCGAACCTACGACTTAAATCTTTCAAACCCTTGGCCCATTTAGTATGCGATCCGAACCCGTCTGGCTTGAACCTGCGGGACCTGGCCCATCTCTCTTTTACGCGTGTGATGTCATAAGATTTCTTTTAACCTAGCAGTGTATTTCCTCTTGCTCGGTTCTCTCATCGACATCGCAGCTTCCTCAGACATATTTTTCTTTCTCATCGATCGCAACCCTCAGTCCAATCTCTTCCCCTCGTTCCTTTTCTGTTTCTTTTGCCCGTCACCAAGCTTCTCACCATCGTTCTCCGATCATCAGTCCTCGTCATCTCATCATTCTCCCATCATCAAAATCCGGTCACCATCTCCCGTCGCAGCAGATCCGACCAGCGTCGCGAGCCCTTCCGGCGAACCCCCATAGCCGCTGCAACCCCGACGACGAGAGCTCTCAAGCAGGTCCCCAGCCCTCGATCGTCATCACCGCTCGCGAAACCCGGCGAATCTGCAACTTCGACGACCTCCCCTGTCCGCACGCCGCCGTGAACCAGCAGCGCCTTCCACCGGCGAGCAGAGCCATTCCCGGCCGTGACCCACCTCTGCGAGCAGGCCCGAGTTCCGGCGACCCTCCACCGCGAGCGACCCTTCTCCGCCACTGTCCTCCTCCGGCGACTCCAGCAGCGAGCAACCTCCGGCAAGCCTTCCTTCGCCGTCTGCTGCTCCCCGTCTCAAGCATCGAGTGCCGCAGCAACCGAGCAGCCGAGAACAGCCGCTGCTGCACCCTTTTTCCAGCGAGACGCGAGAATCCGTCGAGCCCGTCATCCCCGTTCGTCTTTCGTTCTATTTTCCGAGTATTCCTGAGGATGGTACATAGGCGAAATCCCGTCTCGTTTAAATCATATATATACATATTTGATTTCGTTATGTGCTTTATTATCGTGATGTGCTCTTGCGATTTTATATATGTGTTCAATTTGGAATATGTGAAAAATCGTGATTTTATGTGTCGTTCATGTTGTTCGGTATCTCTTCAATTATGAGAAATTGAACGAGACCCCGAAAGTCGTGTAAGTCAGTGGATATTGGAACGATGTCGAGTCCTTGGCCTTATGGAAAGGCCTCGGACGAGAAATTCCGTGTTATGAATTAATTGTTAGATTGTCGAGCTTATGTGTCGCTGTTTTGGTGTTTGAATTATTAAAAATCGCAAAATGTTCGAAATGACTTGAAATTTTGAGGGATATGTTATCTGTTCATTGCCAGCCTCGTGTAAAAATTTCATAATTTTTAGAGGCCTGTAGCTATTTTTGATAAATAGAGTGAATTCTGATCAGAATAGTGTTTAATGCTTAATAAATTCATTCTTGAATGAAATGAGCTGAGATTCGAATATGTCATGCCTCTGTGACTTTTATATGTTGTGTTAAATTTTCAGAATTTTTGGACTTGATTTGATGGGGCTAATAATTTATTTATCGAATCTGCTGAAGCGTTGTTTGAATTTTTATAAATTGGTTACTTCATTAAAAATTCTGAAATTTTACAGAAAGGCCTATTTTATGTGTTGAATCATGTGTTTAAGAGATGGAAAATTTTGGAGTCCATTTTAATTCAGTTTTGATTTAAATTCGATAAACTGCTGATGCTCGTGTGAATTTTTAAAAATAGTAGCAGTCAACATTTAAGGCTGAGATTTTTACACATTGATAATAGCATGCTGTATGTTGTTGTGTTAAATTTGTAAGTCCTGATTCATTCATTAGGTTCAGATATGAATTCATGTGCGTTTTTGCTGATTTCTTGTAAGAATTTTATAAATTAATTTGCTTTGGGTTTAAAGCTGAAAATTTATGGTTTTACTTATTACTGGAAGATGTAATTTTGTGTAAAATTTCAGAGCCTAAGTCGAAGGGCAGCCTGGTCAATGAATTTCATGTGATTAATAGCTAGTAATTTTTAAACTATGATTTTGAAGTTAAATCTGTGATTGACTTGCTTTCCATTCTGTTGTGAGTTGAACTTGGTCTATCCTTAGATGGATTTATGTGATCTCCCTTATGTGGTTTGGTCGAGTTTAGTGCCGAGTCTTAGTGTTCCAACATCCACAGGACTTCACGAACTACTTAGTCGAAACAAGTTCGACTAGGTCTGGTTTGTGTTTTCCGTTTAAAGTCAAGATAGATGTTGATTGTAGCATCTTGACTCAATGTAGGTAATCGAGGAGTCCAGCCTCGACCTACTCCCATTGCTTTGAGTTATTATCAATCCGGAATCCAGGTGGGTTATTCTAAAATTTTCTATGCATATGGGTGACTTAAGTTGTGTTGAAAGCTTGGTGTGATCTATGTATGAAAATGAACATGTAGCCTATCGATGTGAGCTTGATGGCCATCGGTACGGTTGTCCCCGTATGATAAGATACGGTTACCCCGTGAGGTAAATCTCATTAAGACCTATGAGAAGGCCGTGTCATTGATGTGGCACGCACTCCCATGTTTCACTGATATGGCATGGCTTAGCTTTGATGAGCATAGATGTACATGAGTGAGTCTTTGATGAGACTACAGTCATTGATGTGGCTAGAGATGTGACATGATTTTATTGTTTATGTTCATGCTGCGACCATACCTTTATTATGTTATTCATATGCATAGTGTGAGTACGATAGTTAACTGTACTCACTCCCACCTGCTCGTAACTGATGCAGGTTAAGCAGTCGGCGGGTGACGAGACAAGACGGGTGGTGGTCATGCTTTTATTTATCGCTTATTTATTTGCTTCCGCTCATTTATGTTGAGATATTATGACTGTGTCGTTTTGAACTTGGAATTGTGAATTATCTTTATGATTTGGAACTTAATGAATGCCAGTTTG